CAAAAGAAGTATAGAACATTTGGTGTGATGTATCTTGACGAGGCACTTGAGCAGTATTCAACACTCAAATTATTACAGAAAGAATTGGGTGATTCAGGAGACCCAGGCAAGGAAAATATTGAATGAACTGTCATCTCTGATGAAGCAGAATGGAGCAGACACTCCCATTTTTAAAAAGATTGTCCGATTATTAAAATTTTCTTATAAAGCCTCTCAGCTACTATTTAAATTCATTTTTTAAAATGCTTTGGGACCATCCAAAAGTGGGAACTCCAGAATTTCACTTCACTGTGCTCTTCACTGCCACTCTCAAGTGCTTTAAAAGGTGACATTAGTGCCACACAGCCTGTAATGACTAATGCTTGGCTGTCTCCTCTGGCCCCCTGTGCTCATTCATCTCCTGCTTTCAGTTCCTCCCTGAACTGCTCACTGGTCTGGTTACTTTACTGGCAGGGGCTTATTAAAAGGGTATAGGGGTGATTATTTTATCTCACGTCATCAGCAAGGAAGCAACTGCTCCTTGCAGCTTCTGCTGAAGGAAAAAGCCACAGATGAATGAACAATAAGAACAGGTTTGTTTCCTGTGTCTCTTTATAGCACAGGAAGTTTTGCCCAAGCACTGGGGATTTAGGGGATTGTAGTGAGTACATTTGGAAGCTTCTGAATGCAGATTGAGGTGCTGGGCTGCTGTAGCTTCGCTATAACCTTCCCTACAGTTCATTGTGAGCATGGGATGGATACAAGGGCATCCAGAGGAACATCTCAGAAGCCTGAGTTAGAAATCCAAGTATCCATTGTAATCTGCCCTGCCTCTTTGCACCCAGCAGCACAGAGAGCTCTGCTCACCCTGTGCCCACCCACAGCTTTGTACCAACTGGTCACTCTGCCGTGCCTCGTGGTGTGGCCCAGCCGTGTCCAGTTATTCCACCTGGAAGCAGTTGTCCTTGCAAAAAAGATCGGGAAAAGCGTGTGCTGGAGAGATTCAGCTGTTGAGCTCAGCCTCCTGCTGTGCCAGTACTCTTTCATTTGGAATTACCTTGAAAGATGCAACTCAGAAATGAATTCTTGCCTTTAAAATACTGAAAATGAGCCCAAAATCACAGCCTTTAAGTGTTCCAGGCATTTTAATGACAGTGAAGGTTGAAGACAAAGTGCAGACTGTGGCAGTGAGGAGGTGTCAGAGACTAATGCAATTCTTATTTCCTTATTTCTGAGGTAAATGGAGCTCAGAGTGCAAGAAGGGGGGAGAGCACAAGATGGGCTGCGAGGAGAAGGAAGGACCGCAGTCAGCAGTGACACAAATGCCATTCCAAAGCTCCAAAGCGTTGTGCGGTGTCTCAGAAAGCCCAAGGATGCTCTTGCCCTTGGGGCAGCAATTCGAGGAATGCAGAAAAGGCAAGCATGGCTTTTAGGGAAGGGGCTGTGTGATATGGTGGTGCTGGGATGAGCAATTCCTCTTTGATAATCTGCCAGCTCCACCTGGAAGGTGGGGGAAGAGAGGGAAGCAGGTGATTCCTGACAGAGTCCACCTGGAGGAAGTTTTTAAAAGGGGAGTTGTGGTGCATTGTAAATTCTTGAGCTAAGAGGAAAGTAGGAAGTGAGAGCCTAATGCTTTTTAGTCTGTTTGGATTTTTTTAAACCTTGTTTTATTTATTAAAGAATAAATTCCCTAGCTTGCAATGTGCTCTTGCAAGGTTTTTTGAGTTAACAGTAGGAAGTGTATTTGAGAAAGGTGCTGAAAAATCCCTGGTCACTGCATTGAGTTCTTCCTGGGTGAGTAAATATTGTTTTATCTCATACATACTACAGCAACAGAAAAAATTAGAAAGAACTTGAGCAAGTCCTTACTCCCTGTTTGGCTAATGCAGCTTTGTTTGTGCTCAGTTAAAAAGAGACTTTAAAGGTGAAAAGTTTTGTTGATGTGTTTTTTTTTTTTTTTCCTGTGTGGCACTTCCAGGCACAGCATAACCAGATGTTTCTAAGAGTTTATTGCTAAATCACTGATGCCAGTGATACTGGACTTTGGTGTGGTTAGGAACCAGTACCTTTTGCAAGTACACAAATTCAGTAATAGATGACTTCTTTTTCTTTTTAAAATCTTCTTTAATGCTAGGCTCCAGATAGCTGTCTGCAAAGCTTGGGAAAATAGCTGTCTGTGGCTCTGCTGAGTTCCTGTTTAATTACTCAGCCAGACATGACCTTGCACAACTTGTACAGCACAGGGGACTAGCAGATCTTCTGTGGTAAACACAGCCCATAATAACTCTGTTCTCTAATCTCTGTTTCTCTGGCTGATGCCACCCTTTATCAAACTATATATTATCCCTGAAGCACCTAATTGAGAAAAGGCTTTGTGAGGGAATAAAAACGTTTGAGTTGCAGGAAGTAATTACACGGGAACAGGTTGACTTGTATTATTATGGCTACATACTAATATTGTTATCAGAAGGCTCACTTCTAGTTGTGCCCTCTGGGTTGGCAGTTCTGTTTGGTCACTGGGAGGAAATGCTGAAGAGGTTGAACAGAGTGATGTTATTTAGTGGTATTTCTCACCCAGGTTAGGAGGTGTGCAGCTGTTTACTTGCTTTTTTTTGCATGCACCTGCTGTGGATTAAAGCATTTCTAAGGGACTTGGATGTGCATGGCACCTTAGGAGAGCCTAACAGAGAGTCCCTATGGCTCTGCAGAGTGAACCCTCTCTGAACAGCTGGCCACAGCCACTCCTTCGTGGCAGTGCTTTGGCATCACCTAAATATCAGCCTCCTAAATATTTATTTCTGCCTCTCGAGCAGGGCTGCTCTGCCTCACAGGGTGAAGGCAGGTCCACTGGTTCTTAATTGCCTCCTTCCCCAAGTGGCTGGGGAGATTGTTCTCTAACTGGCTGTAATTATCCTTTGCTGTAAGCTAACCAAAGTGCACTCTGATTTCGGTGTTATGTTCATTAGCAAGTGCTCTGTTTTGTGTGTTAATGCATTCTGGGAATGTCCGGTCTCCAAGAATGGACTGATGTGTGCAGCGAGTGTTTGTGAAATACCCTGAGGAACAAATCTGTACCAGGTAACTGGTTTGAAATCAAGCCACAGACTGTCTACAGGTAGAGAAGTTGCTGATGGATTTAGGTGTGAACATTCCTCTAAAGAGGGAGATAAACTCTTTATTGTCCTCAAAAGAGCACTTGGTGGGAAGGTTGGTTCTGAGCCCCGTGGTTTGTGTTTGTGGCACGATTGTTGTTTGAGGTGAGGAGAGAGTTTATCTCACGAGTGGCACTGCTGATGGTTTTGTGATGAAAGTGGGCAGCTATGTTGGCACTGGAGAAATGTGGGAAGAATGAAAGCTTCCCTTCGTACCTTGACTCAAACATACTCCAGAAAGGAATACTCACCACGCATTCCTTGCAGAAAGTCTGAATCCTGGCAATTCTTATCCTTGGTGCTGTCTAGGCATTGAGCAGTGTGGACTGGTGGGTTTTCAGATGAATAAATAAAAATAATGCTGAATGCTTTTAACAGCATCCAGCTCCTACTCAGGCCTCTGGATCTGGAGTTTTTTGTGATGTCTCCTAAACTGAGCATGGAAGTGTGGCTGTTCTGCCAAGCACAGGTGGAAGGCTTTGCCTGCTGATGTTGTTGATTGCTGGGTGAAAAAGGAGGTGACTTGTTATCTTTTTAAGCATAATGAGATTATTCCAATGAAAAGGATGATCTGAATCTGCAAGTGTCTCTGTGTGGACTCTCCTCTGCTGGTAATGGGGGCTCTTTACCCGGTGTGGAATAATAATAGACTTCCTTAGTGGAGCAAACCACGTCAGAGAGACGCTCTCAAAAATGTGCGGGTGGAAAGCTATTGCTGGAAAACTTGTTTCACAATTGCCTTCTCAGTTAATTTCCTCTTGTATCCAAGCCCTTTCTCGGAGCATTTTCCCAGATATTTCCAGAGAGAGAGCACTTGATCACTGAGCTTGTGCACAGTCCTCAGAGCTCAAAGACACCAGGCACTCCAAATCAGCCCTGATGAGCATTCATCTGCCTGGTTTGGCTAATGGAATTACCCGAACTGTTCTGATGTGCAAAATGGTTTTAATTGTATATGAGAATATTGCTTTTGCTGGGTGTTTGGATACGTCAGTGGTCTGGATGAGGAGGCAGATGAATACAGAAATAGGAGTTTAGAAATTAAATAGAAACCTGCATTTCAAAACAAAAGGCTTTCTTATTGTCCTTGAAAGCACTGGGTATTTACAGAAAAAAAACCCTCTAGAATAAAGGCTTGAGAATGTGATATTGCATGCTTAGGGGCTTCAATTAATGTCTGAATATGATTCCCACGTGTGGAAAATTAAAAGGAAATAACTGTCATGCTACAGAGTTGTGTCTATTCTTTCCAAGTTGCATACATCTTTGAAAATTACTGTGAACAAATCTAGTGGCATCCCTGGATACTCTAGATCATCACATAGGTGTAGAAGAGCCCCTGAAGAATAGCCCATTGGCTTTTCACTGTGTCAGATGGTTATGTCACTTGCTCCAGTGTATGCTGTGCTTCCATCCTGCCACTGCTACCTTTAAATGCTTATCCCAAATTAGGGCTGTAACTTTTTCAGGCCTTTTTTTTCCCCCCCTTTACTCTTTTTCTTCTTTCTCAATACAGTGATAGTGAGGTTTAAAAAGGCAACCATCTTCTATTCTGTCTACTTTACAGGAACAGTGAAATAAATGATACAGGAAAGGCCTATAAATGGTATTTTTCATGTATATATCCCCGACCTACATGTGTGTGCCCCTCCATACATCCACAGGTGCATCTCTGGCTGTGTGTGGGCAAACAGGCTTTTAAAGTAATCTCAGGCTGTGGTTTCTGCATCTGCTGGCTGCAGTTGTGCACTTTCAGCCTTTATTAGGAAGTGAAGCTTTCCAGCTTTTCCGAGCTCTTTGTCTGTTTTCAAATATCCATTTGCACGTACGTGTGTCTGGGGTGGGTATTTCCCATAATCCTTGCCTTACCTTCACGTCATTGACGTTCATCCTCGTGCCCTCCTTCCCGACGAAGATGTCATCTATGTCAACCAGGATGTACCTATCCAAGGACAGCATCAGCTTCTTGCCAGTTAGGAAAGAGATGGCATCGATAAAGATGAGTTTGTGCAACCAGAAGGTCAGGTTGTTTCCGAAGAGCACTCTCTGGATGCCATCGTGGAGCCCCAGGTCCTGGATGACGGTTGGGTACAGAGCAGCCCTGGGCAGCGCCGGGGGGGTGGGCCTGGAGGGCTGCAGCTCCGTTAAAAGCACCGGCTGGTAGGTGGAATGGTTGAACTGGAACACCGTCCAGTCCTCCCCGGGCAGGGGCCCTTTCTCGGCCCTCGGGGCCTTGGTGATGCGCAGCAGGGGCGACTGAGGGTTCACCACGCAGTCCTTGAGGGCCACGTTGTTGTAGAGGTGTAACGGCAGCCCTTTCAGTTTGGTGCTCGGGGAGCTGTTCTCGTTGGCTTTATGAAAACCAATTATGCTAACACTGTATTCCACACAGTATTTTTCCAGGAGCTCTCTGTTCCACGAGTCCATGGATACGTACTTTAAAATATTCTCGTATATAACGATCGTGTATTTCCCTCTTCCGTTGTCCGTGAGAGGGGGAATATCCCCCTTGGCCGGTGCTATGACCATGTGGTACCGGAATCTGCTGGACTCCAGGATGGCTATGATGTCTTGCCCCAGCTGGGAGTACTGGCTCTCCACAAACAGGAGGACAGTGGGATCGGTTTTGGACGGATCAATTGGCTTGGCCGTTCTCGTCTCCGCAGCCCTGTAGGGTAGAAGTTTGAGGGGTTCACACTCTGCTTCTCCGGTGGTTTCCACGAGGGTCATTTCCTGCTTGTAGCCGGTGTAGAGGAAGTAGGCGGAGATGAGGATGCTGGCCAAGCAGAAGGCTGCCAGGAGGATGACCAGCGTTCGGAAACTCCTGCGGAGCTTCACGATTAGATTCATCTTTCGCGGGGCTTCCAGCTGCGGTCAGACCTGCCTCTTTCCCGGTTCTCTCTCTTCCTAGAGCGCCATGGGAATGAGGAGCTGCAGAGGTGCCGATTCCCCTTCCAAGACGTTCATGTGACCATTGCAGAGCATTTATGAAGCTGTCAAGGAGGTTGTAAAGCTGTCAGAGCGGGCAGTCAAGGGATCCGGAAAGCTAAATTGAAAGAGATTGTCTCAGAATGCAGCAGCTGCCAATAATCAATGAAGAGAACTCTCAACATTATCTGCAACAAGAAAGGAGAAAGTAAAATAAAATCCATAAAACAATTAAAAACACACATTAATAAAGCTGGTGATTGATGCTGGTAATCTGAATTGAGATGGAGGTTTGTGAGCAGCTCAGGGAGCACTCAGTGTCACTTGCTTTCTCGACGCATTAGGAGAAGCTGCATCAAACAGCTCTGCCATCTTCTCAGGCTATAAAAGTCAAGTCTAAAGATAACTTTTTGAGGATGTGTATCTATCAGCATTTCTTATCTGAAATGGTTTGTTGCTTTTGCAAATGGGAATGATTGAAGATTGCAGGGCAAAATTAGGAGAAAGTACAAGTTGTTTAAATGTGGGACTGTGTTCCATGTCACCTGCAGCTGAAGGACTGGGCCTTCAGTGTCCCTGTATGGATGAAGTACAAGGTGCTCAAGCACCACTGCCTGGCTGGCTCTGAAGCTCTTGTGCCATTCCTGGTAGTTCTCCCTAAAATCATGACAAATTGCCACTGGTAACAGTAAACCATATGACTCAGAGGCAGTTCAGGCTAACTAAACAAATAGCCCGTGCTGCTGTATGGATTTATAAAGGAATTAACATCTTTCTGAATTATTTATGTTGTTTGGCTGTTGGAACAATGCAAGATGGTAAACAATGGATGATTTTGGAACTGCAGGGAAGAAGTGCTTTTTCCAGGCAGATACTTGGCAGTTGATGTGTCCTTCTCTAATAACTCAGGTTACGTGTTTGAATTTTATTCTGAAAACTACTCGTTTATCTTAATTTTTGCACCTAAAAGTGGAAAATGCTTGTAGGAAGCATTTAGAGAGAGGGAGTTGTTGCTGAGGCCATTTGTGACTTTGTCAGGTCCAGGTTTCTATCTGATTTACCTTCCTCGGTTGGAAGTGTGCCAGGAGATTCACCCCCCTGGATTGTGGGCTATTCCATCAGCGACCCTGCTGTGTGTCACACAGCAATTGGCCTAAAGATGAGCGGGGTGGGGAGTTTATCCATTCACAGAAGTGAACAGAAATGAGACAAATGTCCTTCATTTACTAATTCCTCATGAGTGAGAGAAGAAATATGAAAGAAATCACAGCGATCACAAGGAAATGAAAATCATCCTGATAATTTTAAGAGTATTTGCCCCGCTTTGGTGCTTCCCTTGTTCTGCAGTTCTGTCTGCTTGCTGGGATTTCACTTCTTATTAAACCTCCAATTAAGATTTCCTCAGAAGATAAAACCGGATCAAGTGGAGCATCCTCTGTGCGCCCGTGTTTGAGGAGTGGTGACGTTGATGAGTCACTCAGCCCGGCTCCCGGGGTTTACCAGTTCAGGAGAGCAGCTCTCCCCAGGAAGGGCAGCCTCGAGGGGTGGGTGATCTGCCCCCCGAACAGCAGATAGCAACAAGCCTTAGTTGTGTTGGCGTGAGACAGCCAGGTATCTTGGCAAAAATAATTAACCCGCCTGTCGGACTCTGCATCCTCCGCTTGCTTTGGGCACTAGAGGGCAATATGTTCTTGCTTTTTGGAGCCGACACCTGCTGTCCCCTCGGCTCCGGAGCGCACAGCCCTGCCCGCGGGCAGGGCTCCCTCCAGAAGGGGCTCGGAAATCCCCAGGGCAGGGAAAACGTCTTAATTAAGGCTCCTATGTTTAAAATTAAATAAAACCCGGGGCTTCTGCTCTAAGAAATGTGCTGCTAAATCACCCTGAGTGCTTAGCAAATGTTTCAGCCCACACCTGTAGCAGAAGGGAATAGCATGCAAGGAGACCCAAAATTGCACATTTTCCCCTCAGAACAGCATGCAAGGAGACCTAAAATGGCACTTTTCCCCCTCAATCTGCTGTCCTGCTGGTTCTCCTGGGTACCGCTACTGCAAGCTGTCAAAATAAACTTCACAAATACTATTGCTTGCATTACTAAAATGAGAAGGCTCTGACTTTATAGAAGCCAAAACAACACTGCGTCTTCATCCCAAATTATTTCCTCCAAATAATAACACCGGTAAAATCTCTTCCAGTTAAAATATTAATGATTGGGTTTAAGGTAAAGTACTGTCTGTTGTACGCAGATGTTAGAACAGGTGCAGGCATTCTCACTTACCTAGATGTCTAAATACTAGAACTGATAAGGGATTTAAACTTGCATATGGAAACCTGGCATTGGAGCAGAGCTTCCTTTTGGTTTGCACATTTTGTTTGAACTGCTCTGTTGAATCGATTATACTGTTCAGCAAAAAAAAAAAAAAAATAGTGTGAAGTAATTAAAGTTTATGAAAATAAATCAGCTATATTAGCCATTAGTGGGACATTTTCCAAGGCATAATTGGAAGTTAAGTGCCATTTGTGCCTTTGAAACTCTCTCCCTTAAAGTTCAACAGCTTTATATTCGCTCAGAAATTCAAAGACCTTTGGAGAGTTCCTGTGCTATATTAATTTGAAAAACATGAAAATAGGCCATATTTCATAATTAGTGTTACTAATGGAGTTTTAGAAACTGGCATTTGAGGTCCTGTGTTCCTACGGTCACTGATGAGCACTCATTGACTCCTCAGGGGGGTAAAGCCCAAAGCTGGGCACGTTTTGGTCAAGAAATCAAGGAGCTGGTGCCTCGGTAGATCTTCAGTTCAGCTGTCTCTGTAGATGCGGGGCCTTTCCCCAGCAAGAGCAGAGCTCTGCAGTGTAACTCTGTTGGGATGTCAGACATCTGCAGGGACTGTAATTTTTCTTTAATTCAGGCAGCCTGAAGAAAAACGGAGGTTTAAAAATTGCTGCCTCTTTGCTAAATGATACTTCCTGCTTTCACCCTGCAAATGCGTTTGATTGATGACTAAAGTGTACTGATTTGGAAGATGATTGATTGGGAGATTAGGACTCGACTATTTAAAACCGATAGCATGATAGTGCAGAGAAACAGCCTCTTATTAACACCATGTGTTAACGTTGCCTCAGGAGTTAAAGCTGATCCACTCCTGGTCCAGTTCCTACACACAGACCTTCTCCCAGAGCTTGGTGGTGTAACAGGCAGGTTGAGAGCATGTTGCTGATGACAGCCCTGAGGAGAGGAGCAGGACACTTGTACCAGAGCACTACGGTCATTCCTAATGTCCTGTCTGCACCGGCATGCGTTGCTGGGAGTAATTCACCCGGAGGCAGGCCAGAGGTTTCCTCTCATCTTGTTCCAGCATCAATCAGAAGTCAGAATGTCTTTATTTTCCGTATAGAAAACTTCCCTTTAGGCTAAAAAATTAATGTAAACCCTTTCCTCTTGTCCCTCCTTTCTAAGCTCCTGTGACTCCTGCCGTTTACCAGCAGCCCAATGAATCATGATACCTGCTTGCTGCTCCTTGCATGGGACTCCCCATTCATTACAGAAACAAGTGACTGATTTGAGTGATAAATGACTCCTGTTGACCATTAGCAAAAATTCAGGGTTACTGTTCACTGCAGGGAAAAAACCCCAGCTTTTTATGTTTTTTTTTTTTTTTTCCCCAGAAAAGTTTCCAAGAGACATTTTTAGTGAGCTCACAGAACTTACATGCTTCTTGAAAGTAAGTTTTTCTTTCTTTCTCAAGCTTAAGGTCATAGTGTGTTCTGCGCTTATAAGCATGGCTTTGCTCATAAGGGGTGGTGCTGACAGCTGCTCCTGGCTTACCACAAGGATTTAGAAAAGTCTTTTACCTAGACAAGGGCAGCTTCTCAGCTGGCAAAAGCTGTTGCAGGTCTTCTGGCTTCTGTTTTATAATTTCTGAGTGGAGAGGCTGCTCAGCGCTTTGATCTCTTCTGTTTGTTTTCAATGCATAATTATCTGTAAGTGAAACCACCAGTTTTTCAGTATTTTCTGCAGTTTGGTCAGTCTATAGTGCACATGTAACCTTGTGTGATTTCAGAAAGCTAAATGATGCTGGAGGGTGAAGTCCATAATCAATGAATATAAAGCAAAGTGTTTGAAATACCTCAGCTTGTGCACTCCGTGAAAGCTGGAGTGGTCTTAACATGAAACAATACTGGGAAGGGAGCAGTTTGACCCTTCTGCCTTCTATCTCTCTGTGGCTTTCAGCTTTTCCAGATGATTTCAGAAAGTGGAGCTTTGATGAAAAAGGCTCCCTGTAGCAGAGTGGCTGGAGGTATCTTTGGAGATGGGTTTTACACGTGTACATGTGATGCTTTTGGACAGGCAACTCTAACTTCTGCTGATGAGACCCCCACATAAAGACATTCTACAGGAACTGGTGGGATGCTTTTACAAGTGGGAACTAATGGGGCTGTTCCTTCTGCAAATCCTCCCTCCCAGAATTGTCGCCTCCTTTGTTTCCCCTGCTCACCTGTAACACTTTTGTGTGACTTTACTTGTGGCAGAAATGTATTATAAGACTTTACTAAACCCCACTTGTGGTGAATGTTGCCTGATGTGCCTCAGCAGTTCTTTCTTCTGACCCATTAACTCCCAACAGCCCCACGGTCATTTGGGCCACCCAGAACCTCCCATAAATATCCCATCTGTGATGTTTCAGTGACATTTCCTCCAAGTGCCACAATTTATGGATCTCTGACGCCTCGGTACTTCTGAACATAATAAGCAGTTGTAATATTTCCTCAGAAATAGCTGGCTGCTGATTTCTCTGGAGTGGCAGGTGTGGAAGCTCCTAGAAACTGGTAATTTAGGTGCAGTCTTAGGAGAACCATGTGTGATGGGAGAGAGCCTATATATGTATTTCTTGTTTACTGACAGAGTGACTCTAGTCACCATCATGACAAGTAGCTGTAAGTCACCACATTCACTGAGCACCTCTGTAGGTTGTGTGGTGATTTCAAAATATATTAGTTTATCAAAATTACCAGAATATGTGCATTTTGGTGGCATCAGGCAAAACACCTTACCTCTGTGTCCAGGCTTAAAATGATGTAATAATAATTTGAAAGTGCCTTAGTTTTCAATGTATTTGATCATCTTGCCTGAGTGATGGTGATAAGATCCGTCATTTTGACCAGTAACTCACCAAAAATTCAAAAAGCTCAAGAGCATTATTTGGCACAGGCCTGACTTTCCCAAGGTCACTTGGCAGCCCTGTGGCTGAGCTGGAAGCAACAGCCACTTGCTCTTGCATGATGGCCTTCAACAGATGTTTACAACCCTCATGACATCTGTAGGAAAGTAACTGAGCCTCCGAGGATGAAAAGAAGGTGTTGAGAGATGATCTGAAGGTCAGAAGCTGATTGCTAAAGCCATGATGACAGAGCCAAAATGCCACGGCAGAAAGTTGTGCCTGCCGTCACAGCAGAGAGAAGTATGTGACCTACAGGACTGAGTCCTTGGGGTTGATGCTTTGCTTTCCCAGTGGGATTAGTGGGGAGTGCAGATGGAATTAACGTGCTTTGGCTGCCCCAGTCCTTCTGAACGAGGCTGGTGAACAAAAGCAGGCGCTCCACACGTTGTCCTAAGGCCGCTCACAAAACATTTCTCCTGACTTGGTGCAACAAATCTTCTGCTCTCACTTGGTTAATGACTCTTCATCACTTTTCAATTCATAGTTTAATGCTTCAATGGAAGCCAATTTGAATTCATTTGGCTTTTCAAATAAAACTTTTGTGAGATATTGTATCAGAAGTTTTATTACAGTCCATCTATTCTGCTACCGTTTTCTGCTTTTATAAGGCTGTCAATTAGTTATCCAGTTCCAATAGAATGATTTGTGTTGTGAATTCAGCTGAGAGACAACATTTGTGCAATATAATGGCTGCCTAACTAGCACTCCTTAAAGTCAATCAATGCAGTAGTCAAACCCTGTACATCTTGTTTGATTGTATACACAAGCTAAGGCATTAAAAAAATTATTTTAAAACCTTTCTACAGCTCTATTAGAATCTAAATATCTGCAGATTTGCTGTATCAATTTCAGACATTTACCAGGGATTGCAGATTTGGTGGATGACTATTGAAACTACTTTTTGGAGGTTTTTTAGACAAAAAAGTTTGAAAGCTCCCTTTTTAATGAAGAGACCCTTTGCCTACAAGATAGAGTCAGAGGCTCTGGAATAGTCTGTTAGAAACTAAACTATATTTGATTTTTTTTTTTAAAGTAGTTAATGGTTTCCCACATTTTCTGTTGTCCTGTTTCCTTTATGGGACCTAAAAATCTTTGCCACCATGTGAGATAATTAAAATCTGTCCACCCTGATATCGATGACAATATATTTCCCCAAATAACATATCTTGTGGTGTCTGTATCCTGTCACAGGGGCTATTTGTGAGAAAGTCAGATGTGGTCACATCTGTGCTGGGAATTAAAAGGAGGCCACTAACTTATTTCAGAGGGACCAGTGCTGTCACATAGTAATGATCTATTGCCACTGCAAAGGAAGTCTATTTAAACCCAGATAACAAAGACTTTGTACCTAAATCTTTAGAGCAGCAAGTTTACCACGTGAAATTTGAACAGGGGTTTATTCTGAGTTTGCTCAAGCCTGGTTCCAACCAGCCATAAAGCGTTTTTCAAGCTCTGTATACATTACTTTTCATTATAACAACATCTCTTTATTTACTCTTTCAGTCATTTCTGCTGGAGTTCCCTTTCCCAATCTTTGCCCTCGCTGGCTGAAGGGTTTTGTTATCACTGAGAGGATCTGGTAGGAAAATGGGGAGGAGAGATAGAGTTTGGTCCCAGCAACCTCTGATCAGAGCAGATGTTTAGGCTGGAGCATCATCCAAGCCACCAGTGCTGGTGACAGCCTGGCAGGTCTGGGCAAGCAGTGGCTTTCAAGCAAAGTAAAGCAAACAGAGTGACCAGCTCTTTAAAACAGGCAAGGTGGGCTTTTTGTGGGAACCAGTTCTGGCTGCACATATTACTGTAGTCAGTAAAACTAATCTACACAGAGCAACTTGATCACGTACTGAAAATACTATAATGCCCAACAGGCTATATCTCACTTTAATGTGCCTAAGTATTGCAGACAAGACAGTCTGAGGAAGTTTTGTGGAATATTTTAAATACAAATTCAGTTTCTTATCTGGAAATGATTGGGCGGGTATTGTTTGCCTGTTAAGAGGACTAATGCCTGATGGTGAGAGGATAAGGCAGGGAGCTGAACCCCTGATTTCTGTCTTTCTGCCACCACCATCATGTTTTGCTCTCTGGAGGCCACTGGCTTTTTCTAGTACTTCAGTTTCTCTGGTTGTGTTGTGGGAATATTACCCTTTTCTACCTTTCCATGCACATTTAGCTGTAAAATGTTCTAAGATGATTCATGTTTGGTTCCAATGTGCATAGTGTGGATATTGCTGAGGGTGCAATTGGGAAAGCCCGTGCAAAATCCATATTTTCATGTACAGTCAGATGTGTTTGCAGAGCTTGCTTCCTTTTTCTTATTCCTTGCACCCTGGTTAAATTCCTTTGTGTTTATTTCTGCCGCTGTTTTTAGGGGGTTTCTCTGCGAGAAGCCACTTTGTCAGTCAAATGAAAGATCTCTTTAGAGATTTCTGGCGTGTCATCTGTGACCTATAGACACTGGTTTTTTTCTCTTGGTGCCAAATATAAACAAATGTTTCCTTTCAAAAGATGTATGCTTTGTTTTGCCTAGATAAAGTTCAATTTGGAAATGCCACTAGTAGGATAAGGGTCCTACTTGGGAATTCAGGGGATTTTTTTTGTTGAGTCACGCTGAGCTCAGAGACTGGAACTAGAACTAATACCATTAGGGCTCTGTGATAGAGTAGAGAGGCTTTGATTAACCTCTTGTTTTCATGAAAAATCTCTGTTTATTGAACTACTGAGGCATTAACTTACATTTGAAGGGGGAGGGTGTGGAATGGAAAAAAAAAAAAATCCAAGTGGTTGTCAAAGTCTCTCTGGGTGCACAACTGTAGCTGTGTTTTCCAGTATGCATGTCCTGGGTGTATCATGGAAGGGAAAATCCTGGCTGTCTGGTTTGTGGGAGGGTCTTACAAACCAACAGAATGTCTCATTAATTGACACAATGATATGCTGTGATCCATAAAGCTCTGTTTTAGGCAATATATACATTGATACTTAAATTCTCTGCCTGAGCATAAATATTTCTCCATGGAGGACAAAGCCTTTTTGGAGGCACTTCAGCTAAAAATCTGGATATGCAGGATGATGGCTGCTGGTTCATGCAGGCACATGGAGCTTGCTCCAAGGCTGGTGGAGACTGGGTCTTATAGGAGTCTGAGTTTTGAGATGTGAATGGTGTGCATGTCTTGCTTTGCTTGTCACGTGGACAGTGCATGTCACAGAGTTCTCTTTAATTTTGGTTTTTCAGGTACAAATTATAGTAACACACTGTTCTGCAGGTGATTCATTCATCAGGCTTCTGATGCATGGTTCCACCCTGAACAGTATGGGGGTAGAATAGTGAAACCATTTAAAATTGCAACCCAAATACAGTCCACTGACCAGTCATGGATAAAAATGCCCTAGTCTGTTATACCAGCTATTTAGGTAGGTAGAATGCAGGTAGTCTGGCGAAATATCAAGGCAGATGGCCCTGCTTTGGTTTAAATTAAACAAAAAAAAAAAAATCTCTGAGGGCTTTAAAATCAATTGTGACCAGTAAGTTTAATTTCTGTATTTTAGCCAGAGGCCTGGATATTGAATTTTTCCTCTCATTTCCAAAAATTTCCCTGAGAAGCACTGACCACCTGCCCTCTCCTCTGGTGGTTTAGGGGGGTGATAAATATCCCAGTGAGAGAGAATAAATTCAAGAATAGCCTGAGGCTCTGGAACCTTGAGCTCTGCTCTTCTCCTTGCAAAATATGGTCCCATGCAAAGGAAAAGATGTTGGCTGAAACCTCCCCTGAAAGTGGAACACAGAGGTGGGTGCATATTTCATGACAGACCGTTTCAACTTCCCAACCAGTCGCCTCTTTTATGGCCAGCAGCTCCTAATGAATTATTAATCAGAACACTTATTAATACACTAAGAGCTAAATGCAATGCTTTCAGTGGATGCCTGGCAGAGTGTGGGGTGGAATAAGTAGCTGTGGATAGCCCTGCAGGAGGGGAGGTTTTGTGCAGGTCTGCTCAGGGAAGAGCCTGTTCACATTCTTCTCTCTGCTGTGGGTCTGGTGATGATGTTTATGTTTGGGAGATGAAGACCCAGCCATTGGTAAAAGTCTGTAGCTTGGCCTGCTTTCCCTTGGCCAAGCTAAGGAAGCCAAGGGCAGTTCTTATTTCATCAGCCTCCAAGGAGGAAGAGGGAATCCCTTCCTCTTTGCTTCCCTCCTCGTGAAAGAAGCCCACCCTGCCCTGGCTTCTACTTCTGTGTTTGCTCTGGCTCTGAAAACCCATCCTTACTGCAGAGGGAGGGTTCATTTGCTCACCTGGGGAGGGCAGTTGTGACCCCCCACTGTAGCCAGAGGGGAGGAAATAGGTTTAAATACTTCTCTGTTCTTTTGGAATTGAATTTAAATCATCTCATGGCCATATATGACTTCTGGTGCCAAGGAGTTTTCCTCGTCAAACACTGACATGGTTTCTACCCTGGTGTGCTGTTGCCATGTGGTTCTGGTGGCATCACTGTTTAATCTAAAATATTATTATTTTTCTGTAGCAACTCTTCGTTTCAGAAGAATCTGTGATTCCATTGTAATTATTCCTGACAGTAGTTGTAATAGATGTTTTGGATTGATGTGAGTGATTTTCATTTCTTCCACCGCCCGATTCTTTTAATAGCTCAATTTTTCTAATTTAAATGTTGACATAGATGGAGAATTAATTCTGTACTTCTCTCCAACACTCTTCTGGATGGCTTACCTTCCTGAGGAGCATGGCTTTCACATGTTAATAGGACTTGTTGCTGTGATATGAGCCTTCTTCAGCCTATCTCCAAACCTCTGAAGCTGAAGAGAGGTGTCCCTGTCCAGGACAGGGGGGGTTGGAACTAAATGATCTTGAGGGTCCCTCCCAACCCAAACCACTCTGTGGTTGTGTGATTATGAAAGTTGGCAAGGCAAACACTCGATGGAAGCACACACACATCAGGGCACGTGTGCAGCTGAAACTCAGCCAGCCCTGTGGTCATAGGGGCAATCAAACCAGAACTGTTTGTGGACTAAAGCAGAAAGATTTGGAACAGAAATTATGTTTGGTGTTGGTGGGGGGGTTGTTTTTTTTGTTTGTTGTTAGTTTTTTTGTAAAATATCATGGTATTCTTTCCCTTATGGCTTGTTGAAAAACGAGAAAAATCTTTTTCTGGGGGCATATGGCTAAATGCAATTTTTTTTTTTTTTGTTTATCTAACTGAAAACTCCAACTCCCAACTAACAGTAACTCATCAGCATTTTCTTTGATCAGTATTGCCGTGGGTTTGCAATATATGGCCACGTTTTCCTTCAAGTATCTCGTCATACTGCTGGGATAATTCCTGTACTGTAAACCTTAAAAAACCCCATCTTTACTATGAGCATATTTTTCTCCCGCTTGTGCTGAGTGATAGTTGAACTCTAGAGGAGCTCATGATTCCTGCATGCTGCCACACCAGCTAAGTTTGCTCATTGCCATTGCAAGGAGTGCTATAGCAGATATCACAACCTCTAAACACCCATAAGGTTTTAATAGGACTCCCAGAACTTGATAGTGTGAGTTAACAGGGTGTTCAGACTGAAATGGAATTGTATGTGGGGACATAGATATATATATATGTGTGTGTGTGGAAGTGGTCAGTCACTCAAGCATTCTGCTTTAATCTAACCCTTTGGATCTGATGTACTCCAATAAAATGAAAGTTAGAGGAGTGGTTCTCCAGCCTCACAGAAGAGAGTGGTGTCAACAAGGCATTAAGATACTCCTACTTTCATTTCTGGGGCTTTCAGACATTAGGCATCTATTATGAATCCAAAAAATGGCCATATTCTGAGGAAATGGCACAAAAACCGAATACACAGCCTTCAACTTCTGCCCAGAGCGATGCCATTAGGAACATCTAATCTAATTGGGAAGATCATATTATCTGCATTGATAAGATTCAGGAGAAAACTGGAAGCCAGGAATTTTTTTAGTTAAAAGCAGCTTGGCATTTCACACGCCACCCCCTCCCTTTCCTTTAGATCAGCGTTTCAGAAAGCAAGTCAGACAGAGCAGCTGGGGGGGATGCAAAAATGTGCGTGAGGGAAGCATACAGGCATGGTGGGGCAAGACAGGGAAGCACCTGGAAATGTTGCCAACTATTGAAACTTTATGAGCAAGGAGAGACTGCTACCTTTTCACAAGCTGAACATCTTGTAGCAGGAGGATCTTAATTAAAATTACTGAAGAAATGGGATGAAAATGACTTTTTTTTTTTTTCTCTGATAACATTCAGAGCTCGAAAAGGCAGAGCGACCTGCTCCATGGGGTAGGCCAGACTCTGCAGCATTTATTCCCAGGGTGGGAGGGTTCAAGCAACGTGATTGAGAACTGCAGAAGTTAGTAATGGTAAATTTGGTAGAATGGCATGGTAAATTCCCTGGGGAAAAGAGAACTCGATGCGTGTGGGGTTCTGTGTGTGTGTGCTGTAGTGCTTGTAGGAAGAGACTTATTCACTTGCTCATTGCCAGCAGCAAAGACTTGGAGCTGCTGTGCCAGCTGGGAGATAAAAACACTGGGCTGCTGCTGGACCCTGGCTCTGTAGTGTCTGAAGAGCACACACTGATTTCTTCAGTTTACCTCTCACTACCTGAAACAACCCCTGCCTCCACGCTATGAATGGCCGTGCTCTTTAGAAAAAAATGTTGCTGACAGACGTGATTTGGTATCAAAGTGCTGCAAGAGAGCAGCTCTGTAGGTCTTGGCTTCTTCACAGTACAATTACTCTTACTTTAAGTAGTGCATGTTTAATATGTACCCAAGCTTTCACCCTCTCCTTTTAACACAGTAGTTCTGCTTAACTTTGCTAGATGGTAGCAAAGTAAAGCAAAGGATATGGAGTGGACTAAAGAACTGCAACAGCATCCTCTTTTCCCCCACACATAACTTCCCATGCTCTACCTTCTGGCATCTTTGGTCTATTTAGGCAGACAAGTGTCCCCTCAGAGGGGACGGTCTGTGTATAAAGTGCATCTATTTACCTCGAGGGCCCTTGCATGCAAACATGGCAAAGACTACCCCAAACTTTCATATAATCCTTGGAATGCCAGGCTCCAGGCAGCTTTCTGAGGTACTCACTGTGCACAGGTTCAAGGCACACTGTTGGACATGCTGTGTAGATATTTGTACCTGCTGGGCACTGCTTTCTAGTCTGAGTCCAGGCACTGCCTGTGCAGCTGTATGAATATATCCCCACAAGTACAGGTTGAGAAGCTGAACGGTAGCTTACCTAGAGAAGAATTTCTCTTGCTAGCATGCAGGAGGGAGACATCTGCTATTCAAACCTCTTCACATGGCTCCAGGTGAACTAGGGAGAGTTTCCAGCTGATAGCAGCTGTCTGAGCGGCATCCCGGGAAGGCTCCTCTTGCTCCGGCCCCAGCGACTGAACTCTGCCGGCACAGTCACATCTCATTTACACACAGACTGTCCTTCTCAAAGCGAGCAGCCGGCTGCAACGATTCGAACCTCAGCTCAGCACACCACTGGAAACGCAGCTTCCTCCTGGCTCGGGGACTACGCCGGGGAGCAGCCGGGCTCCAGCGGAGAGGCAGTGAGAAGTGTTCGATCACCCCAATCGCAGCCGCTCCCGTCAGCGCTGCCGCTGAGCTCCCGTCCGCTGGAGTCAGCCTCCTCTCCCTCGTATCTCCAGGAGTATCGGGGCGGCCTCGCAGGGCTGTGATTGGCAGAAGCGGCCGGTTCCTCCCGCTTGATCAGCCCCGCAGACTTTCAAGGGCTCGGAGCTGCTCTGATGTCATTCCAGCCGAAGGGGGGGATGCTTCGCGGGAGGACGCGGCGGTGGAGGCTAATTCGGAGATGAGCTGCGTCCCTCTGCCACCGCCGCGACTGATTAGATGCTTCGCCGGGATTTGCATAATCTGTCATTGTGCGGCTGGACCACCTCCCCTCCTGCCCGCCCAAAATGCGGGAGGGAAGTGCCACTTCCAGCTTCTGATTTTACACCTGGAGCCTGCGAGAGAAAGCCTGGGAGAAGGGAAAAGTTGAGAGAGTCGTTTTCCTGACAGGAGGAAGCTTGAGCCCCCCTTTGCCCCTCACCATCCCCAGATGCTGAAGGAGGCTCAACAAAATCACAGTGCTGGAAGACTTTTTGGTTCCTACTCTCCTTAGGTCATTGATAAGATCACCTAGTACAACAAAAGGTGGGTTTTAGTGCATGAGCTGAAACCCAGCAGAGGTCACCCAGCAAGTGGTTTACAAATGATGTCCCTGATAGCAGCAGATATTCTGTGCTCAGAGTTGCAAAGTATTTTCCTGCTCTGTGACAGAAGTTCCACCTATTTGTTGCATAATTCCTTACTAAAATCCTTTGTCTCCTCCAGCTAGAGATGAAAACCTGCCTCCATAGCCAAGAAACATGATTGCTATGTGACTTTAAATTATATTACAGAGGTAAAACTAAACACTTTCTATATTAAAAGAATTAGATTTTATGCCAATCTAATTTTCAATTTTTGCCAGCTTGACACCTTTCACTCCAAAACTGTTCTTTGTACAATACACCTTGGAATTGAAATTCAGCCAATTCAGTGCAGCAAATGTGAGGAGAAAATAGTTTTGTTCAAGGAGACTGGAACAAACCCATTCTGAGATGATGAATGACGCTGTAAACTCAGATTTGAATCATAGGAGGGTCAGCTCAACCTTTCGTGTTTCCAACACAGTGTAAATAAATGGCGTTCCGTGCAGTTCCCCATTTACATCCTTCAGCTGGGACCTGCTGCACGAAGAGCTATTTGCTCTCTGTGAACATCCAAGATTCAAAGATGGTAGATACTCCTAACTGGGGACTAATTGATTCCTTCTGGCTAAATTAGAAACTGAGGGAAAATTAAAATTCAAAGGATGTCTGAGTCACTTCCTGCGATTTCTAATTACAAAGCACTCGCTGGGGGTCTTTTAAAAATGCTTTGTGCCTAAGGCTGGCTATGGCTTTGGGATTGGTTTTCCAAAGGCTGTTGTGGATGTTGGGTGTGAGGTGCGACTGGGCAGTGAGCAGGTGCCTCCTTGCATCCGGTGTGAACATCAGAGCTTCAAGCAGGCTGCAAACTAAAATAGCCAAGTTGAGTTACAGAGTTTCTTCCCCTCAAAAAAAAAAGGAAAACTTCTGGTGCAGTTTGTCCCAAAACGTGAGAGTTTCCCAGCCCTGATCTGATGGTGTGAGAGGAGCAAGTCCAGTTGCTCTGCTGCTCTTTGTACTCACGAACTTGGCTCGTGGCTGCACTTGGAGCCCTGCAGTGACCCCTGTGAGCAGCAGGGTTTGGCTGCAGACCAGCTGTGCCGCTCCAGATGTGGTGGGAGCAACGCTCTGCCCCTTGGAAGCTGCTCCTGCAGATGTTCCCAAGGCGGGCCAGCGGCCAAGTGGTAACACACACTGTCGAGAGTGTTTTAATTCACATGCTGAAGTCGCTCCCTGAACTGAAATCCTTGGCTTAAGCCCATGCCATGCTGAGTGAATTCCACACGGAGAAGCCTGGCTGTGGATTGGCGCTGCCTCAGTGGCTGTTTGCTTTGCTAGGGATTCATTTGGAGTGCGGGATCAGGGGAATGGCTGTGCCAGGGTCTGCCCTTCTGAGGAACGTGTGGAAATCAGTTGGCAGGATTGCTCCAACTCTGTGGAACAGAAAGAGCGCACCAAGCCTTGGGAAAAAGAGTGCAATTTGAATTTTCACTTCTCTCCCCTTTGGGTAGTGGAGAAAATTGAACTCCTCTTGCTCGGTCACAAATGCACTTGAGTTACCTAGAATGTCCTTCTGATCGTGATAGAATTCTCATGCCCTGCTTTAGGGGAAAAATGTGCAAAGAAGAAAACAGAACAGCAAGAGAGGGAAATTAAGTATGGATGGAGAGAACTAGGAAAAGATAAATTCTAGCAATATAAATACTGTATTAATGAGGTGTCACATTTATGCTCAAATCCTTGACACAGGATGTGTGTTTTTCTGGCTCTTACCTGCAGCACAGATTTTGCATTAGCTGGTGGAAATTCTGTACCTGTTAGGCATTGTGGGGTTTATTTCCCCCCCTGTATCAACAACAGCTTATTCCTCCTATACTGGTAGTTCAAAAGTTAGAGGTGAACCCACCAGTACTATGCCCAAACCAGTATTACCTTTCTGAAACATGACTTTCTGCTTTTGTAACTGTGGGGTTGGTTGGTTGGTTGGTTTTGGTTTTTTTTTTTTTTTTTTTGCTGTTGTTACTTTGTTTGGGTTGTGGAACTAAATGTTTCTATGTTATGTCCGAATTTTCTTGGAGCTTGCACACCTATTCCTACAGTGTCTGCACACGTGGCTTTAGTGCGTTCATCTTCACAGCACATAATGAAGTGGAAAACCCAATTCCTGCAGTTCTGTGCTTAGAAACATAGAATCATAGGAGCATTTAGGTTGGAAAAGACCTTTAGGCTATAGAGTTCAAACTATTAACCCGGCACTGCCAGGGCCACCACTAAACCATGTTCCTAAATATGATCAATAGCAAGCGAATCCTTGCAGAAATTAGTACATGTAATATGTGGTTCCTCCCTGGTTCACTCTTCTAGACTATCTAAAAACCTTGAAATGTTTGAACTGATGTCCTGTTGGTCTCATGATGAGCTCTGGTGATCTCTGGCTGCCCCCAGTCTTCTCACCCTTCATTTCAGTGCTCTGATGACACTGTAATAGGTACCTCCCTACTTCTCCTCTGCAAAAGCACCTCAAAGCACTTCAAATAAAGTTCACTGCAATGCACAGAATCATCTCTTTCAGCTAAAGACACATTTTTGGTCTTTATTGAAAAAGGATGGCTTTTGACTCCAAACTTCTTAATGAGTTGAAATGAACAAAAAAAAAGACTATTCCTGAAAGGACCAGCTTTTTCTTGAGCTACTTAAGAACTTTCCTGTAATTAAACAGCAGTGCCTTTTATTAAACACACAGAGCAGTGCCTCAGATGGTGTAAATTGTCAAAACATCCGTTGATTTCAGAGGAACTATGGCAACTTATAAGAGTTACAGATTAGACTTAGTTCTCCAGCAGCTCCTTGACATATGCAGAACACTTAAATACTCACATCAAAAGTGCAAAAAACATAAAGGCATACCAGAATGTGTTTTGGGTTTTGTTGTTTTATTTTTTGGTGTTTTTTTTTTTGAGTATTCATATAATTCATTAAGCAAAGTCTGTTTGGTTTTCTTGATGCCTCAATAAGTTGTTGGAGTTTTTAATCTGAATGTTTTGGCTCTGACTCAAAATTTGTTAGAGGTTTTACGTACTCAGAAATGTAGAGATGAAATATAGATAGACCTGGAGCTGGGTTTCGTGCACCACAACTCAGTAAAGGCATTTGTGTCTTCTACTGTGAGTGCCTGCCTTGTCACAGGCTATTCTTATTTCCCAGATGACAGGGGGGAATATGCTGCTGGTAGTCCACTTAAGCATGAAGCACTGATTTGCAACACCATCAACAGCAAAAATGCTGTGCACAGACCTAAAGTAAAATAAAATTAAAAAAAAAAAAAAAGAGAGAAATGAACTAAATTCCCTGATTGCTGACTTTCTCCAGCTGCACAGTCTCTAATTCAACTTCTATTATCCTCCCTTGTTTATAGCTGGACACACTTCTGGAGATGATAAAGGCCAATCAGTGCACACCAGCTCTGTAATGACCTTTTATCTTATTCTTTTATTCCTTTGTAAGATAACTTTGATATCCTGCTGTGGTTTTGTTCCTGTAAGGCTTTGGATGTATCAGTTTGAGAAAGGGTGCTGATATAAACTAATGTTGAAATATCTGTTAAACCAACATACATTCATTAACATCCAGCATTAGAGCTGCTCCACATCTCTCTAATTACATTACTGCTTTATGTCTTAAGTGCTTACTCAACTATGGAAATATAAACTGTGGTCTTTCAAGAACTGTTATTGAGATACCATCAAAGCAAAAACTGAGTCTGCGCTTGATCCACAGCCTGATCTGTGTCACCACTTCCTGAGTGGCACTGAGGCCAAGAGTTCATGTTGTGTGTGAGAGAAGCATGTCTTTGTGTATCCATAAAGCCCTTGGGGCTGGTCCTACAATTTTCCCTACGGGATCCTTCCTTGGTTCAACTTCAGCCTAAAGTCAGCGGAAAGCTCCTGGGAAGTAAATGGGGGTGGGACTGTAGATTAGAAAGAGAAGAGGTTTTCCCCAGGGCACTTTATTGTAGCAGGAGAGACTGAAGCACCAGAGAAGGTTTATGTTCTGCTCAGTCCCTTTGTGATTTGTGTTTGCATCTGTTAACACCTCATAATGTATGGGAGCTGTGTCCTGTTTGGTCTGTTCTCATGATCGCTCTTCTTTGGGACTCTTTGCTGATAAGCAAGTCAATCTCAATTTGTAGATCCTTGCCAGAACTCAACTGAAAGCCAGGTGCAGGTCCAATTCACCAGACTGCCTTACCCAGAAAAGCTTGCTGGTACCCCCACTGTACACTGTCACAAATCTAGATCTAGAAACTGCACTCATGCTCCCATTTCCCCTTTCTGTGGAAGCATAAAGAATCTTTTACTTTTGTCTTCACTGCGTGACTGATGAAGGTTATGCTTCATCAGAGATCATCAGGTGGTTTCTCTCATTCCCAGTATTCCAGACAGGAGATGTTGCCATCTCATTGTGCACCTGCAGTGGTGCTGGTCCACAGAGCCTGCTCACAACCCGAGTTCAGGCTGGGTTAAATCAGTGCCATTTAAATGGTCACACAGTGTGTACAGCAGTGCTTACAGCACCTTGAGGAGCTCCTTTCAAGCCTGGGCAGTACTCTGCCATTCCCCACATGAACTTTAGCAGATCTGTTTATGAGCTCCTGATGATCTCTGAGCAACCCACCATCGATTTGTGCTGCTTGGTGATTTCCATCAAATGGAACAACTCCCTCTGTCTAATGCCAGCACCGTTTGTGACGTGCCAGCTGCTTACCTGAGCTCTGGTGGCTCTCTAAGTCAAGAGAGAACAGTGGGGTTTGTATCACTGTGGCACGTTGTTTTCCTAATGGGTAAGTCAGTACTGCAGATGCATTCCCTGAGGATCCAATGAGGATTTGGTGGTTAGCAGCTCATGCAAGAGAGCAGTGTAAACAGTGAAGCTGTAGCAGGGCTGGTAAGCTGTGTAGAGGAA